TTTAATTAAAAAAAATAGCCATTTTTACCAGACTCGATGATTATGCGATATAACGTTATACTTAATAACTATTTTTTTAATAATCGGATAGATGTCATATTATATTAAAACATTTTTCAATTTCAGTGTGTTATACTAGTTACATTAAGATCTTTCTAATTTTTAATGGTTTCACGTTTTAATAGTAGGATGATCATGACTCTAATATTGTGATTACATTACAATTGTTAATTGTGTTTTAATTGAGAACCGTTCCATTTCTTGATCAATGAGTTGATATTGGAGGTTGGAGTGCGAGAGTATCTATTGAAATAATGATCACATCAGTAAAATGGTTCCAATAATGCTTTTATTTCTCATATTATTATTGGCTGGTTGACATTTTCTTAAATGTTACATCCCTGTTATTCGACTTTTATTTTATGTCGCTTTTAATTATTACCAGTTTGTTACATTGATAATGACTTCATGTTTAGATCGAAGGATTTGTTTGGTACATGAAATTTTTTGTATTAATAAAAGAACTTGTATTTATCTCGTAGTTTCTTGTTTTATTAGTTGATTAGATATTTGTTTTTCTTGACTGCATGTTAATTTTTATATTTACAAGAGGTTACGTTATGTTCAATAAGAAATCAATAATATTCGAAATGTAATTAGATATCTGAGACACTTTTCTACAAATTTTCATATCTTTAAAGTTCAAATTGAATAGCTTTATTTTACCCTGCAATTTTAGATTCGATGGCTTATTTCGTTGTTGCCTAATATGCCGTTCAGTCTCTATTGTTGTTCGTTATATCTTCACAACTAGTTGTACCAATTAAAAGGTCGAAAATGGCATTACGACCTTTGACTGGTCGATAGTGTCGGTACACAGTTTTCCGATGAAAATCCAATCGAAAAAAATTTAAGCATTTATAAAGAGAAAACTTCAGGGAAAACGTACATTACACTATGTGGAGCAGTTATATAAGCCCAGCAAATATAAAATTGCTTTCCCTCAGTTACTACAGAATGTACGTATCAGAATTCCCAGAGAGCACATTATATTCTGAGAATATTCTGAGAATATACTAAAAAGATCACGTCTGATATTCGTATGATATTCCTGTGTCCGCAGCAACATTGTTCGCAATATATCCTTAGAATATCGAGATGAATTTCGAAAATTTTTCTTAAGAGTGTGTAAGAAATATCTATTAAAAATAATATTCTGTTAGCGAAGAACATTATTTTTAATAGATATTTCTTACACACTCTTAAGAAAAGTTTTCGAAATTCATCTCGATATTCTGAGGATATACTGCGAATAATGTTGCTGCGGACATAGGAATATCATACGAATATCAGACGTGACCGTTTTAGTATATTCTCAGAATATAATGTGCTATCTGGGTGACATGTCATGATAACGTCAAAATGACGTTAAAATGATTTGTAAAGGATTGAAAAGTGACTTTTAATAATGATTTGGGAGCTATTTTGAAGTCATTTTGGTGTCACGATGACTTTTGATTCTGCTTGGTTGGAAATCGGTAATACAGACTTATTCCTCTTTGTGTGCAATTTCAAGACACATTCAGGCAACCGACATTGCAGTTTGAGCCAGGCGGAACTAAGTTTAAACCGAGGCTTCGAAGTACGAGCTGAATATTCCCATGAATTCCCTTCGTCGAGATGTTCGCTCATCTCTTATCCGTCTATTCATCTCGTCCTGCTGTCCTGTAGTATTGAAAAACTCGGCTTTAACGCATCGGAACGCAAGAACATCGCGGACACGCGACTCGCTATTACATACAGAAAATGGAAAATTGAAAAAAAAAAAGGAAAAATAGGCACGTTCGCGTATGCCGGTTCCGCAACGAGACATCCATTTTTATCGATGATCGCCGCGCCCCTGATGTTCGATTTGGCCGGATGTTCCGACACCGGAACGCGTCCGCAATAAAACAGATCCGGGCTGGCAGGGGTTGGTCTTTGGAAGTGTCGATGGAATGCGTTTTCAAACCAGCTGGCGAGGACGGCACGGTACTAGAGCCAATTCATTTCACCGTTTTAACTATTTTTTATCCTTGAAAACATTGTTATAATTGACGAATCTGACGATAACAACAGTTGTAGCGTTAACAAAACAATGTTGCTTTAATGAATATATCTTTAACACGCACAAGGTTTAGTATAATTATTTATAATATTATATTCGAAAACTCGATAAGCAATTTTAGCGTCTTAAATTTGTTAGGTCTTTCTATCCAAATTGATTATTTTATCAAACCAAAGCACGATATTTTAGTTTGTTAAATTAGGTTATTTAATTTTTCAAGTTAAATTTTTTTATTGAAGTTGAATTTTTATATTGAAGTTAAATTGGCCAATATTATAATTATTAAATTTTTTTAGATAATTTTATCTGCGTTATAAATCATTTCCTCATAAAAATTTAATACTTATAACGCTGGCTTATAATCACTTATTTTGAAAGTATTGTTAACAGTACCAACTTTTAATACAATAAAAATAAGTGATTAATTAATCAGTACCATTATTAAGTTTTTATAAAGGTTTATCGACATATTTAATCTTTTAAAAGAAAATTAAATAGGCGTAACGGGGTGGCACCCAGTTGGACACGGCTCAATTGGACACGAGCCACTCGCAGCGCTTGAGACTACAAAGCTCCTAAGCACCGGTCGCTGTGATTGGTGGTGCCCAATCGAGCCGTGGTCAATCGGGATCACTCCGGCGTAACGCATTGTATTGTGTTTACACTGTGAATGGACGAGAAAGGGATTGACGAGAAGCTCAACTGCCAGGATTTTTCTCTGTTACTCCTTAGTTGCAAGAAAGAGAGAGTGCAGAAATCCCGCCATGGAATTTCTAGATTCTCGGTCGGTCAAAGTTCTCAAGGAGTAATTACAAAAGGAAAAAGAAAGAAAGCACCTACCGGTCCCTTCTTTGGATTACGTATAGTACGAGAAGTGTCGGGAGGAGGGGGGAGACTAGAAGGTTTCCGTCAGGCGTAAATCGCGGTCGGTTCGAACTTTTAATTACGTGATACTCGGAATGGCGGGAGAGGAGGCGATGAGAAAGTGGGCGGCGGGCGAGCGGAGAAAAAGACGTAGAACAGATTTAAGCAGCACTCGAAACTCCTTCTTAACAAGACCGGAAATCTGTCGAGGGCCCTCCGGGAAATGCTGGCGCGGCGGATGAGATACGCCGTTTTTCAATTAATTAGTTTCGAGCGAAAGAATGATGCTGTAATTGCAACTGCCATCTGCAGCGGATATAAATCGCGCACGCGCCTAATACCGCGTCGGTATAGATACATATACGTGTACCTACAAAACGTGCCTATACCTTTTTTTTCGCGGCTCGCCGCTCGTTCCGAGCACGAGCCAGGAAGCAATTATTGCTATTATTTCGTTGCCAGTGCGGGTAGGCGATTTTTTATTGGCGCGTACAGATCGAGAGATACGCTCTCGCTGGTTTCAAGTTGCGGCGGCGAAATCGGATAACGTTCAAACATTTTTACGCACCCTTCACCGATTCCAATTTAAAAGTTACGCACGGGAGCGTGCAAGAAGTTTCTTCTTCTTTCAGATTTCTGGATGGAACATAGTCTCGTTCACGATCAGAGATCAAGTATCCGTGAAGTTTCATTCGAGAAACCCCTGTTCTTCTGTCAGGAAAAATTATTTACGCACGCGTGCAAGGACGTGAAGTCTGCCTGCCCGCCCTTTCGAGGGAGAGAAAGAAAAAGTCAGAAAAGTTAGAGAGTCTCTCGCTGCCATCCATCCCGGTCGCGGGAAAAGCGACGGCGATAATGGCCTCCTCTGCTCCCACGAGCTTTTTTTCCGAGCCGCCCATGATAAGGGCAATCGGAATTAATTTCTTCGAGGGAGCGAGCAAACGTGCGTTTTTAATAGTTTTCCCGCGAAATCCATTAACGGCCGCCTCTCGTAAGAATTTAGCGTTTCCTTTTTGCACAGTTTTTGCGCATTTTTTTTCCCTAGCATTTCTGATATCCACGTATACATACATATAATATTCTTGGAAACTTTTTTTTCCGAATTTCACTGCATGTCCCCGTTTGATGCTATTTTAGATTAGTAATTAGGAAAAAAGTAAGTTACACGGAGAATAAAATTTGATTGTATGAGTTGAAAATTTGATAATTTGACTAGAAAGGCAAAAAGCAGATATTTATTAGTTAAATCTATCAAATATTTTAGTCTAATTAACCAGAAATTCTCATTCACGATAATTAGAATTCTAATTATAATAGTATAATCGAAACACTATCCGACTACTTGTGTCGGAATACTTGTATATTACGTTAATACTTAATAAATTCACGGTTTTAAATATAATGCTGGTAATCATATTTACTGTGGGATAATATGCAGTGTACAGTATGAATATGCGAGGTTAAATCAAAATAAATAAAAGATAATACTGTTGATTTTAAATAAAAATATTGAAAAATGTCTGGGACGTGTTTCATACTTGTTGCATATTTTGCAATTTTACACCTTGCAGGTACATATGGGATTTTTATCCTACATTAAATATAGCTACATGGCTTCGTTTTAAAACGTTTCTTAGTAATCTAGTGTAATACTTATCCAGAGTGAGGCACTTAATTTGTTTGCTTCGAGAAACTTATTATAAGTTGTGCGAAAAATTGTTACATACAAAAGTTGCATGACTTTTAAGGGTATTATTACAAAGTGTATACATCTTTTTATAAGCGAAGATGATAAAAACATTTTTAAGTTAACTTTCTTTCTTAAAATAAGCCAGCTATATTTCTAATGATTATCAACACGAATAAGCAGTTTTCATCTATGTTATTCAATTTAGCATGAAAGTTAGGTGCCTCACTCTCTATATAAAAGTCTATTAGAATATGTTTTGTACTTCTTGATGATATAATCAAATCAAAACATTTTTCTCAGTATACAATAATTTTCCGTTCAATTTTTTTTTTGCTAAAGGAAAGCTGAATTTATGACGGGTTCAAAAGTAATCAGAAGGAAGCATAAGATTTCTCAGAGATAATACGAGCTAAATTAAAGAAGAGACGAGATAAGAATTGCTCTCAAGTTCTCTAAAGCTCTACGTTGCTCTTTTGGTTGCTCTGAAAAAAAAATTGAGTAAAATTCTGACGAGTACGTCGAAGTGCAGCATCGAGGGAGATTTCGAGGCCATGCAGGGCGGGGTGGCGAATCGAAGAGGATCCTTTGCGTCGAGGAGGTGATTCGCTAACGATGTCACTCTGAAGATCATTTGGAAACCGAGAAGATGTGCTGCTCAGGTGGCCCAGGTGGTATCAGACTGACCGGATGCGGCGTGATATGCGGTCTCGCCGCGCTGGCGGCCCTCGGCGTCGCTCTTTCGGGTCCAACCTGGCTACACACCGAGGAAAAGCTTGCCGTGCCAGACGTGTCGAAGAATTCTGCAGTCAGCGTGAAGTTCAAGCTGGGACTTTTCAGAGTTTGCTCGACAATCGTGAATCCCTCCAATCTGACGTTGCGTGAGTAACTTATACTTTCATTTCAACGATTCAGAAATATCATGGATAGAGAAAAAGAGAACGATTGGTAAAAGAGAAATAGGCCAATTCCGATTTAAAGAGTGTAACGTTAATTAAATATGTAATCTTATAATTTGAGTCGTTAAATATGGTACCACTTTTATTTGTTTCAAATTGTGAAAATGTAGCAGAATTAATTCATACATTATTCAGAAATATTTTGAATGAGTGTATAGCCATATTGAAAGATACTTTTTACATTTCCTAAAGTTGGAAGTTGTTCGTGCTTATAGTAGTCTTGAGAATAATATGATTTACTTAATTATATGATATAATCGCATGAATGAATTTACTGTAATTGCAATGTTTTTTGTTTACACTTGCAATATTTTTATTTTTAGGCAAGTAAAGTTTGTCATAAATTCGGCAAAAATAGCCAGAATGTTTTTACCAGTCTTGTTAGGTAAAAATTGCTCAACTATTTTCCTCCGTGCCCTTTTATAAGATGGGTGCCACATAACAGTTACAATTAAAACCCTATATAACATTAATAAATATTCACGTTGTGAAAAAAGATAGATTTCACGAGTGCCTGCGGAGGTTTATAATTGGTTCCGCGAGAGTTCTATCTCTCCCGTTTTCTCGATGAAATCTCGCAGTGCGACAGATCTCGCGGAGGATTTTCAGGAACGACAAGGAGTAAACGTAAAAACAAATGACAGCGGTTGTAAAGAGCGCGATAGGAAGAAGGGAGATTTGTGAGGAAGGGTAAGAGGAAAGGGTGGGGGAGGGAAGAAGAGAACATCTACGGATGGCGCGGTTACAAGACTGGTTGCAGCCACCCAGACGATGACAATTTCTTTTTATTTCCCTCACAGTTTCGTCTCGCTCGCTGAAGCTTTGGCGACTTTTATTTCTCTCGCTGTCCTTGCCATTTCTTCAATCCCCGGAGTTCACCCCTCATCCCTCGCGTCGCGCGGAAGTTACCTCGAAACATTGTTCACTGCCCGTACACAGAGCTGTACTTAATGTATTCCGCGATCGGGCGATCTATCCTTATTGTTCTGCGTCCTCTATCGGGTTTCAGTTCTTTGAGGGTTGCGCTGGAGGAACCCCGTCGTTATTTATTCACGGTGATGGGCGCCGTAGCGTCTATCAAGTTAGTGAAGGTTGATCGCGCCGCGAGAAAGGGTTTTACTGTTTTTTCTCTGTCCCATTAAGATTTGTAACGGTTTGATGGATTTGTCCAGATTGAACAAAATTTTATCTACTATACCGCGTAATTGTGCGATTCTTCACTTCATATCTACTTCCAATTTTATTTCATGATAAAAATTAGCCAAAAGCATAAAGCAAATAATTAATTTCCGAGAGATAAGTTAAATTAACCGACGTTCAATCACAAAATTTCAAAATTAAATTAAAAATTTCATATACTAAAAGAGGAAGGCAAACAAGTTTCCAATTCCTTTCTTCCTTAGATATAACGTTGAAGAGATTTAAAAAAAGTAAAGTTTCAAGTTGGATCTGATTAAGTTTTGTATGTAAGATTACAATAATTCAAATTGAAAGTAAAATGAGAGAAGAACTATAGTTAAGATTTAATCACAAACTTTCAGATAAAACGTAATTAAACTCAAATGACATTTTACAATTAATAAATCTCTAAGATTACGATAAAATTCAATAATAAATTTTTAATAAATTGTGCAAAACTGAGCTATATAATAAAATCTACTATTATAAAAAAAATAGAAATACGAAATAGTTATTTTTTTTATATTAAAAATGTTTTTAAAACCCTTGCATTCTATATATCATATGAGTGGAATATACGACTCATATTTACAAATAATGTTTATTTATAAATAAGACATAAAATTAATATACGAAAATTACAATTTAAAAATAATGTACGAGAACGAGGAGAGAATTCAAGTTAACAGTTGTTGTTAATTATCGGTTATTTACGCGGGCAAAGCCAAACGAGAGATTTATATTTCGGCGAAACGCCATTATCTGGTTGCATTGGAAACCTGTACGCGCAGCGATTCCATAATGGAGCCGCCATTTGTGTGTGTATTATTTGATGATTAATAAACGGTTTTATTTGCGGCAATCTCTGTACGACTAATAATTAATTTTAAAGCTACAGAAATCGACTTTCATCAAACTTCTTCCACGTATCGTCGGCGATTTTCTTAATATATTTTTTATGCGTAGAATTTTCTTGACAGCATATATTTAAAATTACAATTATTATTAGAAAATATTAGTCAATATAGATATTATATAACGATCTTTGTTAATCTCTATTGTGATAAATTCTAATGATTGATTTGATGTGGAATTATAATTTACTAATATGCTATATTACACAATATACCAATACTAATATGTCAATACACAATAGATAGCATTTATTATAACGCATTTTTACTTTCAAGTATTTCGAAATATTTTTATATAAGATACATTTTAGCGCATTTAATTACACGTATTTCCTCATTCTTTTTAAATTTGAGCGTATTATCACACAAATATAAATGAGAGCCGTACAACTTTATCCTCTACGCTCGAAACAATGAATAACGGAGCATTATTTGATGTCACGAGTGTTCACACTAATCCCATTGCACAATCCCATTCTTATCAATGTCAATTTTGAATAATTAACGGAATGATGTAACGCAATTTTGGCGTTGTTATTTCATTCATTTCGATAATTTGCATGTGCTCCGGGAAAGCCTCGGAGATTGACCCCCTTTCGCGTCAACTTCGCTAAAAACCCCAGAATATGTTACGGCAGACAGTAACTGAATTAAATTCGAAAGTTTCACTCCGGAAAACTGTGGGAAAAGCCGGCTCTCTGTGCGGCGCCGCGTCAGGTTGGTTCACCTGTAAGTAGTCATGCCCTCAAGGCCGTGCCCTCTCCCTTCTCCCTTAGGAGAGATCGCGCGCGAGTTATTAGTTCAAATGAGCGGTGAGAACAGCAAGGAAATACTTTTAAGCTCGAATGGAGAGAAACGAGCCGACCATCTCCGCGGAGACTAGTGATTCAAAGATGGCGGGAACCGGCCCCTCATAAATCTTCGTCCTTCGGGACAATTTTTGCTCGCCCAACTCTACCGATATAATCGATCTTATCTGTAAGAGAAATTTCATTCCTAAAATGCGAAACTATACATATTATTAATTATGTTTTACAGTCTCTTTGAATTTCTCGTGAATTTTTTAATAGGTTCGTCAAATTGAGATAATACACCCGGGCATTTCAAACACTTTTAAATACAGGGTTTGTAATATAGTTGTATTATTTTGTATCTTGTATTTCAGCGGAACACGTACAAGTATATTTTTTATTTCAGTATCTTAAATTAAAAGATTAAAAATATTTTATACTTTGTACTTGTTTCAAATATCAAGATTGACAATCAATCTTATTATTTGAATTACAAAATACAAAATACTTTTAATCTTTCGATTTGAAATATAAAATACAAAATGTTTTTAAGTATATATTGTATAATAATATGGCTCAATAAAAATTAATCAATACTGAAAAATAGAACAATTGTTATAATTTAATTGCGATTGTTTCATGAGTATATATACAGATTTTAGTTCTTTCTGTGATTTTATTAAGTTATATTGTGTCCCATTAACAGATCTCAGTTTTTGATTAATATCTGCAACTTCACCAAATGACTACAATGTTGTATGACTCAATTACGTACCACTTTTGGCGACAAATATTTATAAAAGAGATCATATAAGAGAAAGCAAATCATGTTAATATTTCTTACTTCTTTTATAATAATTTTACTTAGCCGTTAAAATGATGTCACTTGTTCAAAATTAATTTTATTTTTATTTTTACATTAATAATGACACGATCGTTGTCGAAACACATATTTGTTTATTGAATATTAAAAGTTATTGTTTTGGCTGGAAGCCCTTCTATTTTATCAGTATTGAAAATATTTTTATGTGCCTCGCTGAAAGACAAAATACAAAATACATACAAAGTTGCATTGCAAATACTAAATATATTTAAAATAGAAATATTTAAAATACATGCATGCACACACACACACACACACACACACACACACAAGCCGTGAGTACATATACTTCTCTGCTTTATATTCCTCCAATTTTAATTTTAATGGATTTGTTACTGTTGTATAATTTCGATATTTTATTACATAACATTTTAAATTAAACATTTGCTATTTTTTAATCTACAGTTCTCTATCTGGCTATTTTAATTGTTCAAATAAATATTAATTATGATTATTTAATTTGTAATGTGTGGGAAAAATGCCAATTTATATTAATCTCGATGTTATTCAACAATTTATGACTTTAATTTATTTTTATTTATATTATTTCAAGTATAATTTCATTCACATGTTCGTCTATCACAAATTGTTTGATTAAACTCAATGCGTCAGTTAATTTATGTTGGTTTGACACCTTGAAATTTGCGACAGTAGCATGCAGTGAGCTGTTTCTCTATCCCGTCTGTAGCCATAATTCACATTAATTCGCAGAGTTTTACTTTTTTGTGATATTCTAAGAAGAATGGAAACTAAAGTGAGTGCAATCAAGGTAGAAAGAAGTCGACAAATGGGCGACTTTCTCTAGCGATATTCCGCTGAATCCGCAGGACTAACGAGTCATTATTATCTTTGTCATTGTGCAGAATTCAGAGATGAAAGACTCAATGTCTTTCTCTCGAACCTGAGGTCAAGCCATGGTCGTTTGATAGACTGTTAAAGAAAAATTTTTTGCTTTCGTTATATGTAATGGAAGTAAATTTCAAGCGGGTACATTGAAAACATTCAATGTTGTTAAATAAAAATGAAATTATAAGTAACTTAAATTTAATGTTCGTATGTATTAAATTTTTTGTATATCCACATAAAATTTTATGAGGAGTATATTAAATTTTATGCTCATAACACAAATATATTTTTCAATTGCAAATATATTAA